AAATCCTAAGACGAGTCATATCAAAAGTTTCTATAAAAAATGGAAGGAATTAACGTGTGTTTAGTTCTATTACCCAAAAATGGGACTCAAATCGGCGTCAGCGGGACAAGCGATTCTCTAACAAAAGGTCGTCAACCCTGTTGACCACCTAATGGCTAAAATACAGGAGAGAACATTAATCCGCTGCGGGTCCAAAGTATTCCTATCAAAAATGCCGACAAAGAGCAGCACGCAAAGACGCTGAATACCACCCCTGCTGTAAACGGCTCTCACTTGCTTAAACAGTTGACTAGATGCGATTTAGCCTCATGACAAGGGCTTATAACTTCCAACGATGACTTGAGAAGGGAAAAAATTTCAATATATTCAATGAACTTTACCAAGAATGAATGATTAGAGTTTTTGACCAATTTTTATTACGATTGGCATGACATTGACACCGTTCTAATGTTGGTATCATCACAGACTTGTAAGTGTTGGTAGTGTCAGGGACTATAAATTGTAAAATACGCAGACAAAACATGAAAATGGGTAGCATGGGAAGTTATGAAGGCAACAGCCTGCCTAATCGAACGAATAAATAAGCCACCAGAATAACAAGATAAGCAAAGAGAGCAGGGCTCGGTTGCGCAAAATGCAAGTTATGACGGCCTATTAAGCGCCATTTAGTAAAGGTGGCAAAAATAATTTAAAAAACAAGGATCATCAAAGAGGGGAAGCAAACGAAACCCTAGAAAGATGTACCTGTGAAATTTGGTGGGTATAATAAGGGTATCCAAGCCGCAAATATAAATGCAGTCAGTTAAATTACAAATGAAATACGTTACCAGCTATTACCTCTCTTTGTTCTTGTTATGAGGGGAGTTGCGTTGAAAGAGATAGGTCTGTACTAGATTCTCATATTTCCTGTATTCCACCGCTTTAGAAACTCTTACGAAGATTGATGGGTGAACATGATAGATGCGATTCGAGTTTGGTGAGACTTCCGAAACTTCAAAGGCTTCACGAGAAATCATATGCCTGACATCTGGGAAAAGGTAAGACGTTAGAATGTACTACTTACAAGTTGTTTTAAGTAAACATTTTTGTTCCGATAAAGATCCACTCAGTGATGGATCACCTTTAGGAAAATGACCCTTTAAAAAACCTAATGATGGATAAGGAAACGTGTTATTATTGGCACGTTGATTTAGAATTAGTGTTTTGAGAAGTATTTTCAATTATGAATAAGTCAAATGATGAAATATGCTCTTTGCATCTTTGAAAAATCAGGTCACAGAAGGCACACCAATGGGTCAAGCTTTCAAATACTAAAAGATGATCTCGTAAGCCGTCAAATAGTG